GTCTCCGTCTCCGTCTCCTGCTCTGGCAAAAAGTCCCCTCCCTTTTTTCCCCGGGCAGCCCCTGGCTTTGGCAGAAATACAGACGATAGACGACACTGAAGACTTGTACAATTTGTATGACATTCGCAATGACACACACTTGGCATGGTGATGGGGTCGTCCTAGTGCCACTGCTGCTGCTAGTCTGCTGCGGAGAGTCCTTCGATGCGATGCGAGTCAATTGCACGAGAGTGAGCCTGATTGTGCTGAAAACAGGTCCTTTTTCTGCCCTCTGGCAATCATTTGAGATTTCCACACAAAACAAAAGGACACACACACACACATGCGTTATCCTTTCTACAGTTTGTACAGTCTTATATTAAAATCTTACAAGTTTTCAAGTATTTTTTGATAGAATGTCCCCTTTTAATTTAAAAATTATTCAAATTTAAATTAAAATTCAAATGTATTTAGTATGCATTACTCGATGACGAAACTAATTTGATATTGTTCGTCCTGTGTTTGTCCTGTGGCCTGTGACATAATTTTCGCCCACCCACCGCAGCTTTCCAATTTTCTGTCTCAGTTTTTTGTCCCAAAAGGGTTGCCAGATTGCCTGACTTTTGGTATTCTCCGCTCGCCATTCGACTTCGTGTTTGGATTCAGGACTCAGGACTCCGGATTCAGATTCAGATTCTTTGGCATTGTGTGTTTGTCCATGCACAATGCATACAAATTGCATTACAATCAGCCCGGGCAAACATGGAAAATATATTTAAGATGCGATGCAACAACAACAATAACAAAAATACTAAAACAAATACTAAAACAGTAGCCTCAAAATGGTAGAAATGCTTGAAATCGTTACAAGAAAACAAACAAAGAGGGAGCCTTCGCAAATATTTATGTACAAATATTTTTGCTCTAAGCCCAAACAACAGAAAGAGATAGCCAATCACACACATAGAGTGTAGAGAGAGAGATGGCAATAAAGAAAAGAAATGCAGAAATGCAAAAATTTCAAATGTAATTTGGAAAATTGAAAATGAAACAAAAATAGTGTAGTTTGTGAGAAAAATAATAAGAAAAATCCAAAAAAAAAGGAAGAACGATGGCAAAAGTGAATGGGCGGGTATCCTTTTAGTCACATCACGTCCTGGACATAGCCACGCCCCCGTCCTTTTTGGCCCTAAGAGACGTATTCGCATTAATTGGCAGCTCCCTGTCGCCCAAGGGCGGTACGTCGACAAATGTATCTTTGTATCTCGGTATCTGTGTATTCGAAAGATGAAAGCCAAAACATCAGTGTCCTCTGGATATGAAAGTTGTCTTTCTTATTTTCTTATTTTTTTTTGTGGGCAATATTTAGTATTTTAATTTGAGAAGAATTTACAAGAAAAAAATACTTTATTGTTTGCATTTATAATTTATACACAATATTGTATATCCTTGATCCTTTTATTTTATTTGTATTTATTGTTGTGTCCTTGTCATTTCATTTCATTACATCTCATTGTTGTCCCTTTTGGCTTTTGTGATTTCTTTCAATTTGACTTTTTTTTTCAACCAAATATTTACATGTACCTTTTTTTGTTCTTCTTCCATCTTTTGCTCCTTTTGGGGTGAAAAGAAAATGGCCAGAGGAAAATGTCCTGCTGCGTCAGTTTGCCGGCAGCCTGCTGGGCTATAATGGCATTTATTAATTGCTATGCAAATAACTTCAAGTCAATTTTAATGGCAATTGTGTCGGCGAAATCCAAACGAGCCAATTTTCAGGCTCAGGACTCAAACGATTTTTAAATAGTCATTATTCCACTAGGTATCCTTAAGAAGGAATGTCTTGTGCTAACAAGTCTGTAAATCATTAAAGCCTCTTTTGGCAAGCTTCCAAATCCCCCCCAAAACTGCCCAAAATATGCTGTATTTTCCAGCTATTTCAAGTGAAGCCAAACATAATGCCCCCCAAAAACAGTAGTACTATACTATATATAGTATATAGTTTTTTTTTGGGAAGGCAGGCATGAGGCAGGAGTAGGTTGTCCTTTTAGTGAGCTACTGTTGCGACACTTTTGTTGAGGCGGTCGAGAGTGAGAGAGAGCTGCTTGTAAATCTCTTTTTAATTGCATTTAACCGCAAACAAATTCGAAAAAGCCGGCAACACAGCTAGAACCAACCAGCTAGCTATTGCAACTTGGCCACCCAAACAAAACTTGGCAATCCCACTTGGCCTGAAACTAAAAACCGCACGTGGCACGACGGAAAACCCAAAAACTAAAATGCAGAACACACATGCAATGGTCTAGGAAACAAGGAGAACAAAAGGAGAGGGGACTGTCCTTTTGGGCCACACAAAATTGTTTAAACATATACCATAGAACCGGCCAAATACAATCCAAATCGAAAAGAGGGCCCATATAGCCAGCTCAAAATGCAAAACTAAAACCCAAAAAACTAAAGCAGTTCACAGTCACACAGGCTCACACAGTCGCAGTCACAGTCAATTATACAAATTGCATTTGTGTTGCTCTCTTGCAGGACATTTGCATACCGCCCACCCACTATACCACTAGGGCACTTTTCAAAATCACCCAGGACATGTGGACACGGCAGACATCAGGACTGTAGAACACTAGGAGCAACACCAGCCGGAGAAGCATTTCTGTATTGGATTTTGGCCACATGTCCTTTGGATCCTTTGGACCTGCACCCTTCCCCTCTCCCTCTGACTCTCTGTCCTCCATATAAAAGTCAACCCAAATGCACAGGCACACCTTTTGAATTTTAAAAACTCATTGCAAACTTTTCGCAGGTCATCAGGTGATCAAAAGTGAATACAAATATAATGTCAAATATCTCCCTTCCGCCTTTTTGTCTTTTGAATTTCGCGGCTATGTACAAAGCGCTACAGAGCTCGTATCTGGCAACACTATACATAATTTAAAAGGTCTTGACATAACCTACAAAACGACGCTATGCATGATTAGTTTGGATATTGCGTTCACCAGTTATAGACGTGTAAACATGGAGTTCACTAACGCCGAAATTCGCGCTATTTTAAAGTTTTCCTTCGTTAAAGGCAAATCCGCTAGAGAAACGTTCCGTGAGATTAATGGGGTTTTGGGGGATGGTACTCTATCACTTCGAACCGCGGAGGAATGGTTTCGACGATTCAGAGCCGGTGAAAACGACACCATGGATAAGCCAGCCGGCGGAAGACCTGTGACGACAAATACCGATCAAATCATGGAATACATCGAGTTAGACCGGCATGTGGCTTCTCGTGACATCGCCCAGGAGATGGGAGTTAGTCACCAAACCATTTTAAACCATCTGCAGAAGGCTGGATACAAAAAAAGCTTGATGTTTGGGTGCCGCATGATTTGACGCAAAAAAACCTTGTGGACCGAATCAACGCCTGCGATATGCTGCGGAAACGGAACGAACTCGACCCATTCTTGAAGCGGATGGTGACTGGCGACGAAAAATGGATCACATACGACAATATCAAACGAAAACGGTCGTGGTCGAAGGCCGGTGAATCGTCCCAAACAGTGGCCAAGCCGGGATTGACGGCCAGGAAGGTTTTGCTGTGTGTTTGGTGGGATTGGAAGGGAATCATCCACTATGAGCTGCTCCCATATGGCCAGACGCTTAATTCTACCATCTACTGCGAACAATTGGACCGCTTGAAGCAGGCGATCGACCAGAAGCGTCCAGAATTGGCCAACAGGAAGGGTGTAGTGTTCCACCAGGACAACGCCAGACCACACACTTCGTTGATGACTCGTCAGAAGCTACGGGAGCTCGGATGGGAGGTTTTATCGCATCCACCATATAGCCCGGACATAGCGCCAAGTGATTACCACCTGTTCCTGTCCATGACGAACGCCCTTGGTGGTGTAAAGTTGAACTCAAAAGAGGCTTGTGAAAAGTGGCTGTCCGAGTTCTTCGCAAATAAGGAGGGGGGCTTCTACGAGGGAGGTATTATGAAGTTGCCGTCTAGATGGAAACGGATTATCGAACAAAACGGCGCATATTTCAACTAAATCGGATCACTGTAACACTTTTTATAAAGCATTGAATAAAGAGCAAAAAAGCGGAAGGGAGATATTTGACAACCTTATATTTGAAAATATTTATGAATATTATTTTTAAAGATTTTTTAATATCCAGACCAGTATAAGACCAAGACAAAATCACAACAACAAGAAGAGCCAATACCAAACAATGAAAACAAGCAATTTTTAAAACCATCATCCTAAAACTAAGCATTCTTTCATAGTAAATATTGATATGTACTTACCATCCAGGATCCAGCAACCCTGTGTAGCTTCTCATGCTATGTCCAGATCTGCCATGTCCAGAAAATGATGAGCAGGAAAGATCTTTCCAGGATCTCGCCGATCGGGATAATGGGTCGGTAACTGTCCAGGTCCAGGGCAGTGGCCACACGAGGTGGACACGTGTTTCCAGCCACGCAATAATTATTTTCACTGTACACAGAAAAAATACATATATGAAAAAAATTACAAAAAAAAAATTACAACAAAAAAATTACAACAACAACAAAAAACAATACAACAACAAAAACATTACAACAACAAAAACACTACATCAACAACACAAATTACAACAAAACAATTAAAACTACAAAAACCGCCATAAAAGAAACCTATTTTCCCCGCTTTTCAGGCTGGCTTAAGTGCAACCTTTGAGAATCGAGGAGGAGGGCGCTAATATTTAAATTATTTTTTTAAAGATTTTTTTTATTTTTTTTTTTTAAATCTACCAAATTGAAAAATTTTAAATTTTATTCAAAAAAAATAGTTCTCTTCAACGCTATTCCACTTCTTGGCGCCCTTAAAAAGCAGGCAACGGAAATATTAGTGGTTACATTAATTATTCTGGGTAAAATGTTAGATTTGTATTTTTGTAAAACTTTAAAAATAGGATTCTTTATACAAAACTTGTACAAAAACGAAGATCTCGTTGAAAAATCTATATCGCATTTCTCACTTCAATCGCAACACATCCGAAATCTAATCATTCTATCCCGACCCCGCTGAAACGAAACAGTATTAAAAAAAAATTTCAAAAATATTCGATGAAAATAATTTTTCAACAAAAAACTACAGTCAAATAATTTTTTAACTAAAAATAAACATGAATATGACAGCGAAAGAATACCTACAATATCAGCTCATTAAGCGGGAGCTGGAAAACGAAGAGCTCTTGACTTTTGAGGATCTCTTGGAACTGACCCAAATTTCTCCCCGCAACCTGGCCAGGGCGCTTGATAAGGTGGCCCGCGAATTTCGTTTCTATAAAAAGAAAAAAGGAGCAGTAAATGTGGTAGCTGCTGGATTATCGGAAGTATCGGGAAATACAGAAGCATCTGGATTCTCGGGTCTGATGGGGCCATCAAAATATTCGGGACTTGCTAGATTACCAGGACCATCCGGTCACTCAGGGAACTCGGGACCATCTGTTTCCTCAGGGCCACCAAAGTATCAGAGATTGAAGGCACCCAAAAAAAGACTTGAGCTGGAATTCGAGAAGGCGGCAGCTTCCCAGGTGAAGACAAAGGCAAAGGATGGCAGCAGTGCCCTATGTTTATCCTTCAGCATCATGAGCCTCGACCAGAACGACGACGACGAGGTAAGTGTGTGAGATTCTTTAGTGTAATTTTAAGATGTCTTCTATCGCAGCTTTATCAGATGGACGATGAGGAACATGAAGATCATATGAGCTTCGAATATATGGTAATCCTTACCCGTACACATCCATTAATGCTGGAACGCAGCATCCGCCATATGGCTCGCCATGGCAGGTTCCTGAAGGACAAAGAATAAGTCGGCGCCCTTTTGGCCACAATCGTTCAATGTTTCATGTTCAATTGTTATTTATACCGAGGGTTATATGATATCCATGTCACACTATTACTACTAGTCGTTTTGAAATTGTTTAGAAGTTGTAAAAATAAAAATAGTTAAAAATGTGCCTATTGCAAGCTAAAAAATAATCTTTTTTTTGGTATTAAGGGTGTGGTGCTAAAGGGTGTTATAGTAGAGCTGTTTAATAAGTTGTTATAGAGCTTATTGGTTGGTTGACCACTTTGGGTTAAGCCCACTATTTCTTATTCTTAGACTTTATCCTTTTAGTTTTATCTTTGGCTTCTCAGTTTCCCCATTCTTTTTTTTTAGTTTGTTGGCCTGGCCAGTTCATCTTTTAATTAATTCACAAGCAGCGTAAAAGTTTTGTAGCCACTTTGGGCCTAGACCGCCAGCAGGGCTAGAAAGAGATAGCACCCCAAAAAAAAAAGCGTTAGAAGAGAGGGGGGAAAAAAAAGAATGGCGGCCAGGAAACACTTGCAACTATGGCGAGAACACAACGCAAGAAAACTTTTCTTATACAAAATTATGGAAAACTTTTATTTCCATGCATAGCACACACATCCCTAGGAGTAAGGATATGTGGGAGGCATGTGTGTGTTCCTGTTTATTGCTTTACTTTTTGCACTCTTAAATAAAACTTGCATATAGTATAGTACGAGTATGAATATGAGTCGTGCCAGGCAGGCACATTTATTTATTTAGTTTCGCTGCCTTTCGACACAACTTTTATTTTTATTATTTAAAATATTTAAAATTTAAGCTCAACGCGGGTTTCTGGGCAACATGAATAAATAGAGTTGAAAAAAATGATGATGAAACTGTCATATCATAGCAGGAACAGGATATACCTCCTACCCTCTCTTATTCTTTGATTTATAAATTTTTAACTTTTATTCTGCGGTTATAAACCCGACCAACTTTACTTTATGGCTTGCAAATAAAACTCTGGCAAGAAAAAGTTGAGACTTTTTTGCCAAGAATATAGTATTTAGGGCACGGGGAGGCCAAGAGATATAACCTCATCATCATTGTCATCTTGATGGGGAAATTTTTGAAACGTTCTTTTTTTTTCTTTTTTTTTTTGGAGCATTTGGAAACGTTTGGAACGTGCCAATGAGCTGTTCGGGCCATTTTGCTTTTTATGCGACTGCTAATGACACAATTTGGTGACACAAAGACACAAAGAGCCGGGCCAAAACAGTGTGGCGAGAGGGAGGGAGGGGTGGCCATATGTGACACGCACGCAAAACAATTAACTGTTAACACTCACACACTCACTAACACAGACTGGATTCAGGATATTTTTACGTTTACGCTAATCCGCGATGACCGTTCCACTTCACTTCATTTCGCTTGTTGCCTTTTTATGGCGAATTCATCCACTGAACGAAATAATACATCAGACATCTAAATATGTTGAAAACTAAGGCTTTTTATGAAACAAAGCAAGCCATTGCACGTAACTTCAAATTCAATTATTTGTGGAGCAAATTTTTTCACAAGTAAATCCTCACTCGTAATCAAACATTCGAGCTGTTCAGATCAAAGAATTTCTTTGAAAAAAAAAAAAACGTGAAAATAAATTTTTGACCAAAAAAAAAGGTGTATTTCAAATTAATATTTTTTCGTTTAAAATAATTATTTTCATATTTCAGGATTTAATTGTATTGTATTATATTCGAAATTAATATTTTTTCGTTTGAAATAATAATTATTTTAATATTTCAGGATTAAAAGGAGATCAAAATGGTAATTTCGCAAAAGCAGTTCAGCCTTCACGTCTATAGGGCCGTGCACAACATAGCTACGAGCTTCACTCCGTTCATAGATATCGTGAAGGAGGTCGACTACACCATGCAATTCGACAAAGACGCGGATGAACTCGCGCAGGGAATTCACAAGGCCCTGAGTGACTTTGTTCGCCTTCGTGTGATCGTCGAGAGGAATAATACATATTGCATCTACAACGATTCACTTCGTCGCCGCCATATGTCGTCGGGAAATTTTGCACCCGTGGATTCATCAGAGGATGCAAGCGATGAAGATGAAGATGAAGATGAAGCCCCGAAGAGACCGCAAAAGGAGGATAAACCAACAACTTCTAAGAAAGCCAAGGCAAACAACAAAGCTACTAAGCCAAAAGGCAAATCGCAAATCTCAGCTCGCAAATCGCAAATCTCAGCTCGCAAATCGCAAATTTCAGCTCGCAAATCGCAAATCTCAGCTCGCAAATCGCAAATCTCAGCTCGCAAATCGCAAATCTCGGCTCGCAAATCGCAAATCTCAGGTCGCCAATCGCAAATCTCAGGTCGCCAATCGCAAATCTCAGATCGCAAATCGCAAATCTCAGGTCGCCATTCGCAAATCTCAGGTCGCCAATCGCAAATCTCAGATCGCAAATCGCAAATCTCAGGTCGCCAATCGCAAATCTCAGGTCGCCAATCGCAAATCTCAGGTCGCCAATCGCAAATCTCTTGTCGCCAATCGCAAATCTCTGGTCGCCAATCGCAAATCTCTGGTCGCCAATCGCAAATCTCTGATCGCCAATTGCAAATCTCTGATCGCCAATCGCAAATCTCAGGTCGCCAATCGCAAATCTCTGGTCGCCAATCGCAAATCTCTGATCGCCAATCGCAAATCTCAGGTCGCCAATCGCAAATCTCAGGTCGCAAATCTAAGCCCCGTTCAAAAGCCTCTAATTATGGCAAACCAGCCAAAGTCGCTAAAAAGTCCTATAAAAGCAAAAAGGACAACTGTTTTTTTGATGAGGAATTGGAGAATGGGAGCTTCTATTAGAGATGACTACGATGGGTATACATCATTGGCAGGGCAATGGTAACAGAAGAAGCCTTTGAAGACACTAAACCGCATTACGAAACGCTACTAAACACTAAACAATTAACACTAAAACTACAATACACGAAATGCCTGAATTCGAAAAATAAAACAAAATAAATAAAAACCCAATGCAAGCGAATTTGGAAATGTTTTTAATATTGGGTTTCTGGGATGGGGGAATTCTTCTTTCTAGGTTTATTGGTTCTATCTTTCGGTTCTTCTAAGGTAATTTCAGGAAACCATACAGTTCCTGTTTAAGCTTTTAGGACTTCTTTGTTTATAAAGATATCCTGCAGTTCTTTTGTTAAAAGATATAAGCATAAATATATATTATTTATTTAATTTATTCCATTCCTTTTTCTATTTACCAAATTCTTTTATTTTTCCCCCAATTTTTTTTATAAAAAGATGACAGAACAGTAAAGGTATCTTGATTGCTTCATTACTTCATTTGGAACCGATTAATTTGACCGATTTTAATCGATTTATTTTTATTTTAATAACCAAAAGTAAAGGGTATAAGTATCTGATATCATGTACATAGCTTTCTTTTCTTAAGACCTTTCTTCCTTCTTTATAAATGGAAATAAAAACAGAACGTTTTTTCCATGTGTATTTAAGCCACAATTACGCTGCTTGCGCACATTTAGTGCAGTTCAGTTTCATCGCCCTGCGTCCTGCTAACCAATGACCCCTCTTCCCTCCATCTCCACACATCACTCTCGTTCTCTTTCACTTATCGGCTATCTCTCCCGCTCGCACTCGCTTTGGATGCTGTTCAGTGAGCGTCTAAGTATGTTGCTTCCGTTTCCGTCGCCTTCCTTTGAAGTAGTGTGGGTGGGCAGATAGGAGAGAGTTGTTGTGCCTGTCGGAGAAAGTGGAGAGAGAGTGGTAAGGTATTGTTGTCGCAAAGTGCTGACACACTCACACACACACATACACACTTACATACTAACCAACACACACTGGCCATTATCGCGTGCGCCTTAAAAGCATAAAAACACACAGAGAAAGTTGTATAAAAGCCAACAGCAGCAGCAACAAGGACAATGAAATGCCAGTGCCAATAAATAGTGAAAACCAAGAGAAGAAGAAAACCTACAGCGGGCAACAAAACCAAAAAAAAAAAAGAACGACCAGCATCGACATTTCCTTTGACTCCGCTTTGGCGCTTTGCTTTATCGCAACAATTGGCAATTGGATTTGCTTTTGTTTGGGCCACGGGGCGTATGCGTAACGTATTTTGTATCTCCTGTCGCAAACTGATTCATTCTAATGCTCCTCCTAGCGCGCCAGTCGCGACAATCGCAATTTAGTAAGGCTTTTATTGTCCTGCCAGCCTCCACCCGGCCATTTCAATGGTTTGTGTTCCGTGTCCTGTGTGCTCTTGGTCCTGTGGCCTGTACGGCCATTCCTTTAGTGTGCTGGGCATAATGGAAATTACTTGATTATCGTTTACACGTCGCCAATCGCTCAGCGAATCTCAAATGAATGAGCCTGCCGCTAATAGACTGGCCAACAGTGACAGTGGCCAAAATGGCCAAAAGTTTCCACAGCCCTGAAAACGAGAGAATTACAAACAAGTAGTCCATGATTCGAACTGTCAAGCCAAATATTTCCGAGATCCGAGTTACAAGCCCGAAACATCTCATTCTACTACTAGCAGCTGAATGCGACAGTAACAAAATTTTGGAATTCACGCGTATATTTTAAAAATTATTTGTAGTAAATATTTTTGGCAATTTATTTTTTTTTTTCGTACAAAATTTTATAGTATATTTTTTTTTCGAAATTTCTACGACCTAAAAAAAAATTCTCGATCCCAATGGCCGCTAATAACAACGTACCTCAGATAGTCAACCGCCACGTTCTAAAGGCTGTAGACTTCCTGACCCAAGAGTGTGACTATGCACCGATCTGGGAAATCAAAAATCAAGTTCGATACACAATGAGAAATACGAATCCGGTGGAGAAGCTTTCTCTTTCAGTTATGAAGTCTCTCAGGTATCTTGCCGATGTCGGTATTTTAAGCAGAAGGGACAACACCAATTGCTTCTTCGCGACATCGCAGAAGATATTTGCTAACTCCACCGGAATTCCAAACAACCTCCAAGTCCCTTCCATGGCCACACCTCTGATGGTACGCAAGATATTTGGGCATTACAAGGTGCCGCCCGTAATGATCCTGAAACGAAAGGCCGCGAAACCAGCAAAAATGTAGGCGCTCGGGATCCAAAACAACCGACCCAACTGAGCCTTTCCCCCTGCTTGGGTTATACAGGCCAGGCCAGGAGTCCTAGGCTATACCGTCGAAGCCAAACTTGAAGCGCATGCTGTAACGTCTGGACACTCCTGCAAATTCAAATCCCTATGTGCAAGCAACATTCCTGGACCTATTCATTTTGGATGGACAATTAGACAAATTAGCTATATTTTTTAAGAAATTTGTCATCAAATATATTGTATTTTTCTAATTTCTTGTGTATTTTATTTGGGCTTCATTGAATCTGTCTGAAATAATGGGTCGAAAGAGTTATGGGGCTCTGTATAATATTTTAATAAATGGACAAACCTTCAAAAAATTTTCTTTTTAATTTTTTTAGGATCGCCTTTAATGTATAGTTGTATGGAAAAGGGGAAATGTGTTTTAAAATAAAATATAAGCTAAGTTTTTTGTTCAATAATTAAAACTACTTATGCTAATATTTGTAATGAAACAATTTTTTAAAATTTGTAATAAATCAAGCAGGAATTGAAAAAATTTCAATTTCAATTTCAAATTTCTCTACAAACAAAAAAAAAATAAATATTTTCCCTTGAAATCTACAAAAAGCAGTCAAATATTTATTCTTTATAATGATGTGAAAAAACTTCAAAACAAAGCAATCCACTTTCGTTGAACGTCAAACAAAAACGAATAGCACTGAGACGACAGAGCTCAATACCTCATTCCAGACTCAACCCCACAACAGTGAGGACCTGAAATATTAGAAATCAAAAACTTAATTCGATTATTTTCGAAAACTCTATACGCATAGTAATCATGGATCAATTCAATGTCCCTCGAAAAGTGAACCGTCATGTATACAAAGCTTTCCACAACTTGGTTGTGCCCGGAGAGTACGTGTCGGAGGCAGAAATATTACATGAGGTTCGCTACACAATGCGCAACTTGAACCCGACCACAGACTTGCCTGGTTTCGTAAAAAAATCGATCTTCAACATGAAATTGTTGGGAATTTTGAACGAAAAAGATAAAATGTACAGCTTGCGCGATCGCTCTGAAAACCGCAATCGAAACAACGCGGCCGGGGGCACTGTGTCTGGCTCGGCAGAAGATGCCGATGATGATGATGTTTTTTTACCACTAACCGCAGAGGGAGTGTGTGTCGGCGATTTGTTCAGGCCCTTTACCATACCAACACCTAGACGGATCGAGCCGGAATGGGATTCAGAGCCAAGGATTGGATCGGGAGAAGAGTGTTTGACGGACGACCAAAAGTATGCGAAGAGGAATGAACGGAATTAGATAAGGATCAGGCTACAACTATTTTAATTTAGCCGGTTAAGTGTTATAGTTACCAAGAGGTAAGTTATCATTCATTGATTTTTAAGAACTTTTTCATTCATTCGGAAGTTAAATATAACTTTTAAGAAATCAAAAGCAAAGCTTTCTTGTCCATTGACTAATCAAACCTATACTTATCCCTTAATGTTCGATTTTCATTGCGTCTATAACTAAATTAGTAAATCGAACCCAAAGCCCTGCCCTTTCAACAGTGGCACTCGTAAATCTTGAACTCCTTTTCACCATTTGCTCTATTTTTTTTCGGTTTCTTTTTTTTTTTTGTCTGATTTGGAAAATTCATGGGAGGAAATTGAGGGAAATGGGTAAACGAGGCAACTGGGACTTGGTCAAGCTGCCAGAGTGCATTCGGCCAGTATTTCGGTATTTTGGCCAAGAGGGAAAGCGACAGGTCGGAAAGTAGGTGAAAATGTCAATGGTAGCCAGTTTTGGATTCGGTTTATTAGTTTGTGTGTGTGTGATGCTCCCTTTGTGTGCGTGCCTGTTCGTATTTAAGTGGTGAGTTTGCGCGATTCCATGAAAGCTATGGTGAAATTCTCTTCAACCAAAATCCTTTAAGAGAAATCCTTAAGAGAACTTGTAGTTTTAAGCGTTTTATTATTATTTTTTTTTTTTTTTGTATTATTTTTTGTAAGGCTCAAGTCCGGCTTTTGAAACGAACACTCACACACACACAGTAACCTAGGTGTGGGGGGGAGGGAGGGCACACACACGCACTTGGGCGCGCCTAGAAGTATGCTCTGACAACTTTGAAGTGCTCTTGCTCTTGCGGCCTCCGCTGCAGTCGCGATGTCGCGCCGCTTTGACTTGTCAAACAAAAATAATGCCATTTGCCATTTGCCAGTTGCTAGTTGCCAGTTGCTAGTTGCAAGTTGCCAGAGTGTGCTGCCCCAGCTGTTACTGCAACACGAATCCGTTTTAATGAAGAACCTGCCCTCTCAGCCGGCGCGCCGCTCTCATGCCATTCCATGCCTTCATCGCAAAAGTTTGCAAAGTTGGCAGACAGCTTAAGTGGAAGGCCAACACTTAGTATCGGTTAAAGCGAAATTACGGTCGTAATTGCAAATCAAATTTGGTAATGACATAAACACAAAAATACAATTCAAGCCAAAGAGGAATGCTAAAGAATATATTTTGGCGGATATAAAATATAGGCATGGTATTCAACCGTATCTTAACCCAGCCGATTCTTGACCGCTGTTGGAGCGGAGTATCCTTTTAGATTTTTGGATCGATCTTCTATTATTTTGCATCAAAATCAGTCCATGAACTTTTTTTAATTGTTCCTATTTTTGTGGAGCAATCCTCAACAAAAATCCAGGATGCCCCTGTACTATAATGAATTTTCATATTTGGTCCAGAGCCATAGCTATACCTCAGCCAATTCTAATCCGATTCTCAAGCGGAATACCTTAAACGATTTGTGGATCGATTCTCCATCAATCTGCATCAAAATCTGGATGCAAAATATTTTTTGAATTTTTTTCGAAATTTTGTGGGGTCTCTGCAAAATCCTGGATTTTCATATTTGGTCCAGAGCCATAGCTATATTTCAGCCAATTCTCATTCGATTCTCAAGCGGAATACCTAAAACGATTTGTGAATCAATTCTCCATTAATCTGCATCAAAATCTGGACACAAAATATTTTTAAAATTTTTTTCGAAATTTTGTGGGGTCTCCCCTGCAAAATCCTGGATTTTCATATATGGTCCAGAGCCATAGCTATATTTCAGTCAATTCTCATTCGATTCTCAAGCGGAATACCTTAAACGATTTGTGGATCGATTCTCCATCAATCTGCATCAAAATCTGGATGCCAAATATTTTGTGAATTTTTTCGAAATTTTGTGGGGTCTCCCCGAAAAATCCTGCATTTTCATATTTGGTCAAGAGCCATAGCTATATTTCAGCCAATTCTCATCCAATTCTCAAGCGGAATACCTTAAACGATTTGTGGATCGATTCTCCATCAATCTGCATCAAAATCTGGATGCAAAATATTTTGTGAATTTTTTTCGAAATTTTGTGGGGTCTCCCCGCAAAATCCTGCATTTTCATATTTGGTCAAGAGCCATAGCTATATCTCGGCCAATTCTCATTCGATTCTCAAGCGGAATACCTTAAACGATTTGTGGATCGATTCTTGATTAATCTGCATCAAAATCTGGATGCAATATATTTTTTGAATTTTTTTCGAAATTTTGTGGGGTCTCCCCTGCAAAATCCTGGATTTTCATATTTGGTCCAGAGCCATAGCTATATTTCAGCCAATTCTCATTCGATTCTCAAGCGGAATACCTAAAACGATTTGTGAATCAATTCTCCATTAATCTGCATCAAAATCTGGACACAAAATATTTTTAAAATTTTTTTCGAAATTTTGTGGGGTCTCCCCTGCAAAATCCTGGATTTTCATATATGGTCCAGAGCCATAGCTATATTTCAGTCAATTCTCATTCGATTCTCAAGCGGAATACCTTAAACGATTTGTGGATCGATTCTCCATCAATCTGCATCAAAATCTGGATGCAAAATATTTTCTGAATTTTTTTCGAAATTTTGTGGGGTCTCCCCGCAAAATCCTGCATTTTCATATTTGGTCAAGAGCCATAGCTATATTTCAGCCAATTCTCATCCAATTCTCAAGCGGAATACCTTAAACGATTTGTGGATCGATTCTCCATCAATCTGCATCAAAATCTGGATGCAAACTATTTTGTGAATTTTTTTCGAAATTTTGTGGGGTCTCCCCGCAAAATCCTGCATTTTCATATTTGGTCAAGAGCCATAGCTATATCTCGGCCAATTCTCATTCGATTCTCAAGCGGAATACCTTAAACGATTTGTGAATCGATTCTTGATTAATCTGCATCAAAATCTGGATGCAAAATATTTTTTGAATTTTTTTCGAAATTTTGTGGGGTCTCCCCTGCAAAATCCTGGATTTTCATATTTGGTCCAGAGCCATAGCTATATTTCAGCGAATTCTTATTCGATTCTCATGCGGAATACCTTAAACGATTTGTGAATCGATTCTCCATTAATCTGCATCAAAATCTGGATGCAAAATATTTTTTGAATTTTTTTCGAAATTTTGTGGGGTCTCCCCTGCAAAATCCTGCATTTTCATATTTGGTCCAGAGCCATAGCTATATTTCAGCCAATTCTCATCCGATTCTCAAGCGCAATACCTTAAACGATTTGTGAATCGATTGTCCATCAATATGCATCAAAATCTGGATGCAAAATATTGTTTGAATTTTTTTCGAAATTTTGTGGGGTCTCCCCGCAAAGTCCTGCATTTTCATATTTGGTCAAGAGCCATAGCTATATCTCGGCCAATTCTCATTCGATTCTCAAGCGGAATACCTTAAACGATTTGTGAATCGATTCTCCATTAATCTGCATCAAAATCTGGATGCAAAATATTTTTTGAATTTTTTCGAAATTTTGTGGGGTCTCCCCGCAAAGTCCTGCATTTTCATATTTGGTCAAGAGCCATAGCTATATCTCGGCCAATTCTCATTCGATTCTCAAGCGGAATACCTTAAACGATTTGTGAATCGATTCTCCATTAATCTGCATCAAAATCTGGATGCAAAATATTTTTTGAATTTTTTTCGAAATTTTGTGGGGTCTCCCCTGCAAAATCCTGCATTTTCATATTTGGTCCAGAGCCATAGCTATATTTCAGCCAATTCTCATCCGATTCTCAAGCGCAATACCTTAAACGATTTGTGAATCGATTGTCCATCAATATGCATCAAAATCTGGATGCAAAATATTTTGTGAATTTTTTTCGAAATTTTGTGGGGTCTCCCCGCAAAGTCCTGCATTTTCATATTTGGTCAAGAGCCATAGCTATATCTCGGCCAATTCTCATTCGATTTTCAAGCGGAATACCTTAAACGATTTGTGAATCGATTCTCCATTAATCTGCATCAAAATCTGGATGCAAAATATTTTCTGAATTTTTTTCGAAATTTTGTGGGGTCTCCCCGCAAAGTCCTGCATTTTCATATTTGGTCAAGAGCCATAGCTATATCTCGGCCAATTCTCATTCGATTCTCAAGCGGAATACCTTAAACGATTTGTGGATCGATTCTCCATCAATCTGCATCAAAATCTGGATGCAAAATATTTTCTGAATTTTTTTCGAAATTTTGTGGGGTCTCCCCGCAAAATCCTGCATTTTCATATTTGGTCAAGAGCCATAGCTATATTTCAGCCAATTCTCATCCAATTCTCAAGCGGAATACCTTAAACGATTTGTGGATCGATTCTCCATCAATCTGCATCAAAATCTGGATGCAAAATATTTTGTGAATTTTTTTCGAAATTTTGTGGGGTCTCCCCGCAAAATCCTGCATTTTCATATTTGGTCAAGAGCCATAGCTATATCTCGGCCAATTCTCATTCGATTCTCAAGCGGAATACCTTAAACGATTTGTGAATCGATTCTTGATTAATCTGCATCAAAATCTGGATGCAAAATATTTTTTGAATTTTTTTCGAAATTTTGTGGGGTCTCCCCTGCAAAATCCTGGATTTTCATATTTGGTCCAGAGCCATAGCTATATTTCAGCGAATTCTTATTCGATTCTCATGCGGAATACCTTAAACGATTTGTGAATCGATTCTCCATTAATCTGCATCAAAATCTGGATGCAAAATATTTTTTGAATTTTTTTCGAAATTTTGTGGGGTCTCCCCTGCAAAATCCTGCATTTTCATATTTGGTCCAGAGCCATAGCTATATTTCAGCCAATTCTCATCCGATTCTCAAGCGCAATACCTTAAACGATTTGTGAATCGATTGTCCATCAATATGCATCAAAATCTGGATGCAAAATATTGTTTGAATTTTTTTCGAAATTTTGTGGGGTCTCCCCGCAAAGTCCTGCATTTTCATATTTGGTCAAGAGCCATAGCTATATCTCGGCCAATTCTCATTCGATTCTCAAGCGGAATACCTTAAACGATTTGTGAATCGATTCTCCATTAATCTGCATCAAAATCTGGATGCAAAATATTTTTTGAATTTTTTTCGAAATTTTGTGGGGTCTCCCCGCAAAGTCCTGCATTTTCATATTTGGTCAAGAGCCATAGCTATATCTCGGCCAATTCTCATTCGATTCTCAAGCGGAATACCTTAAACGATTTGTGAATCGATTCTCCATTAATCTGCATCAAAATCTGGATGCAAAATATTTTTTGAATTTTTTTCGAAATTTTGTGGGGTCTCCCCTGCAAAATCCTGCATTTTCATATTTGGTCCAGAGCCATAGCTATATTTCAGCCAATTCTCATCCGATTCTCAAGCGCAATACCTTAAACGATTTGTGAATCGATTGTCCATCAATATGCATCAAAATCTGGATGCAAAATATTTTGTGAATTTTTTTCGAAATTTTGTGGGGTCTCCCCGCAAAGTCCTGCATTTTCATATTTGGTCAAGAGCCATAGCTATATCTCGGCCAATTCTCATTCGATTTTCAAGCGGAATACCTTAAACGATTTGTGAATCGATTCTCCATTAATCTGCATCAAAATCTGGATGCAAAATATTTTCTGAATTTTTTCGAAATTTTGTGGGGTCTCCCCGCAAAGTCCTGCATTTTCATATTTGGTCAAGAGCCATAGCTATATCTCGGCCAATTCTCATTCGATTCTCAAGCGGAATACCTTAAACGATTTGTGAATCGATTCTCCATTAATCTGCATCAAAATCTGGATGCAAAATATTTTCTGAATTTTTTTCGAAATTTTGTGGGGTCTCCCCGCAAAGTCCTGCATTTTCATATTTGGTCAAGAGCCATAGCTATATCTCGGCCAATTCTCATTCGATTCTCAAGCGGAATACCTTAAACGGTTTGAGACTCGATTCTCCATTAATCTGCATCAAAATCTGGATGCAAAATATTTTTTGAATTTTTTTTTTTTGAAATTTTGTGGGGTCTCCCCTGCAAAATCCTGGATTTTTATATTTAGTCCATGGCCATAGCTATATCTCACCCAATTCTTATCCAATCTCTTTCGTAAATCCATTAGCCGTTTATAAAATAGAGTGGGACTCTATGCTTATAATAATTTGGGAAATATTTTTCAATATCCGACGACTGCCAGCGGCGATGCTCAATTTTAATCTACTAACTCCGGGCAGTGGCGCGCTTGGAGGGAAGCTCTTTAATGTAATTGAAATGTCGTGAATGAAATGGCAACAACGCATGGTTGTTGTTTTAGATGTGTGTTGTTGTGTTAGTTGTTGTTATTGTTGTTGTTGTTGGTGGCACGTGGAAAACCAAAAAGGGCGTTGTGTCGGCAAGGCGTAGAATGTACATACATATATAGTAAGTATATATGGGGAATAGTGAGGGGCGGTGAGGAAAAAAACACGGAAAACTATACACGAAGGCGCTAAGTAGCCCCGCCCTTTATTCTCTGCGGCCCTTTTGTGCCACCCATAGACCCCGCTTCTTGCCTGTTTCGACATCCTCCTAACTAGTCTAAAAATGTCCTGTCAATGGCAGCCTTTTTTGGCAGCCACACGCGTCGCCAGCCACAGGCTAAAAGTAACAAAGGATGCTACAAAAATATACACTTAAAAAAAGGCGATTTTATTAGATTAATATTAATGTATTTTGAAATATTTTAATTTGTAAAAAATTTTAAGCTTATTCTAGCTCTCACTTTTAACTGGTTTTAATTAAATTCAAGCCTCAACGCCTAGAAAATATGAATTGCAAATGAGTTTTGTTTTAGCTTTGAATTTTAAATAATATACTCATTTTTTGGGTTTCCCAATCCTCTAAATGATTATAATAATATTGCAATTGCAACCAGGATATACAGGATAAACAACCATTACAATCATAACAGGAGTAAGAAGGAGCAAGTAGGGAAAATCTGCTGTCAAAGGCAAAAATAGCTGAGAAGTTTGGACTTCATTTTGCAATCCACAAGAACTTCATTTGCAAGTGCAAGGCTCTTCTTTAGTAAATGAATGTCACGCACACATCCAGACACCTCCTCTCATAGATACTACTATATATATATATATTTTATATACTTATAGATATGCAAGCCAGGTGAGCTGTCAGCATCATTTTGCAAAAGGATGCCCGGGATGCTGTGGCTGTGTTGGATGCCTGACTGCATACGAGATGCCCTCGGCAGATGCCTGCTTTAATCATAATATTAATAATATTAAAAGGTAAATATACTACCAAATGCAACTGCAACTGGCACTGATCTATAGCCACTCGTATAGAATTTGCCGGTAAAATATGCTAAAGGATATATAATTTGGATTTAAATGGGTAGAAGTACTAGAGGATAGGAGGATTAAAATTTAACTATTAAATTAACTCTAAGATATTAATAAATATCCACTCTATTCTTATAAGTAAACATCACCCATCTTTCAAATCCAAATCAAAACATAATCGCCTTTTCCTGTATTTATTTTGTGTTTGATTTTGTCGAATATAGTATGGCCCCTGGGCTGATTAAACTTTACTTTGGGAATTAAGCCAAAATCGGCTTGTTGAAGCAGACAACACCCCTCGAGACTGACTACCTACCTCGGCCTGTAAACCAAGTTGGGCATTTGGCTGCCCAGCTCTCTTGATTTGAACATCAATTAACTGATTTTGGGGTTTGTTTGCCCGGCCGATAGCAGCTCTTGATCCTTGTTTTGTCAATGTACTGGTTGTACTATCCATGTCCTGTTTGCCACTCCAAAACTGAAATGGCCAACACTTCTCCGCCAAAGAAGAGGGGCCATAATTCGAGACAGTTTGCTTAATTGAATTCAGGAAATAACTTCGCGAAGCGCCAAAGGAAATTGAGTAATGCAAACGTGTCATTAAGCACTTAAAGGGACTTCAAATGCTGCTACCAGGGTGGGGCATTGGGCTCAGATGGGTGGGTGGGTGCCACACTGGCACCATCATCTCTCACTGATTGTGAGAAGTGTGGGCCTTAGCGGTTTTCGTGGTTTGGATCCTACCCGAATGGAAACCGCCGGAGCACAAACTTTCAATCATGAGCATTGAACATGAAATGCCCAACGAAAACAATTAAGCATGATTACAACAGCAACGGCGCAAAACAATGCCAACCAGCAATTAGATGTTTATGTAAATTATATATATATATATATAATACTGTCTGGAGGAGACATTTGCATAAGCTGGGGGGCTGAGGAGAGGGCTAAAGTGGCCGAAAAGGGGGCTGCTGGGCCAGTAATTAGTAGCAATTACAGCAAACGACAGCCAGACAAGGGTTAGACGTTAATTTACTCACTACCCAGTAATAATACAGGACTTGAATAATTTTTAAAGGAAATATTAATCGTTTTGTTAATATAAAAAACAATTAAACATAATTCTATCTTTATTAATCTTTATATTATTTCCTTTTATATTTCGTTTCAGTTTTATTTTTACAATTTGCAAGAGTAACTAGAGCCTGCACCGACGAAGTTATTTTTCCCAAAATTCCCAGTGAAATACCATTACGACAAGGACCAACAAGGACCAGGAGTAACAAGAACCTCCATCGATAAGGCCCTCCACTAAAAATTCGTAGTTTCAAGACCCGCAGCCTCGGGAATTCCCCTAGAAGAGCGCGAATTCAATAAATTTCTCTAGTTCCAAGTTGAAGCAATAATTAGTTAAATGCTCAATAAAAAATTCAAGTTCTACATAAAATAATAGTGAAATTAATAGGAGGAAAATGTAAAAAGGATACCAAACCAGACAGGACAATCAAAAAGGGAGAAATGAACACAGACCACAAATTATTCGGACATTAGAATTTGTCATACTTATTATGCGAAAGCCCCTAAGAAAAGACACGGCAGGAGGTTTTATTTACTTGCAAGGATTCAAAGGATAATTAATTTTATAGTTGATTAATTTGCACTTCATTCTCCTTCTCCTACTCGTCCATCTCCCATCAAAGATGATGAGCCAAAAGCTATTTGCCATTCATTCATTTCATACTTTCATTCACTTTCTTTCAATCTTTAGCTTTCCCTTGACATTTCTTCTCCTCCTCCTCACTTTTTGGCAGGACGACTCCCGAGGACGACTGTCCTTTTTGGTTAGTTTGCTTCAATATATTTCTGCTTAAAAGTTTCGACTTTTGTTGCCAAATTAGTTTTGAAGATATTTCGGACCAAACGAGAAAGCAGGAAAAAGAGGATCTTTTATTATAATTATTTGTGGATTTTAATCATTTAGGGTCTTTATCAATATAGCTTCTAATGGGGGAGAAAAATTCCTTGGCCATTCAAATAAAACGAATGCTCTTTTCGAAGCAATCGAGATGTGAATACATTAATTCCCCGAAAATCGGATCAATTAAGAGAAGCATAAATTGTTTGGCAAACACCTTGTGGGTAATTCATTCGATAACACCCAAGTAGTCGTAGTAGTAGTAGTAGTAGTCGCCCAAGTCGATAATCGATTATCCTGAATATCCTGACGGCAATCAATTTGCCAGACACATGACCAAAGTATAATACGATACATTTTGCAACAAAGTCTGTATGTGTGTGGTGTGAAGTGCTCTTGGCCACGTTTAACTTTTTTTTTTGCCAATTGATTTTCAGTTTTTTTTTTCCTTGCTTCTTGGCCTGAGCGCCCACTTATGGATGGCGCCCGGAAGTTTATGGGCCAAGAAATTGTCAACAAGCAAGTATCGAACAGGTAATAAAAATGTCGAAAATATGCATTTTATGTATTTCATTTCAGCCTTCTGGCAATTAAGATATGAAATGTATGAGATACATGAGAGGCAACAATAACAAAACGGGAAAGGATACTATAAGGATACTGTGAAGGACCAGAAACACTGGATATCTCTCTCTTTCTCTCTCGATTGTTTACGGTAATGGGGCAGAGAACCAGAGCCTGAGCCTTGTTGCAGTTTTGCTGGCATAAGTGCAGTAGTGCAGGAGGATTTTTGCAATTTTAATTTGTTCAAAGTGCCATGGCAGGGCAGGGCTGGTCAGGGCAGGCTGGGGCAGGCCCAAAACACTGGCTATATAACCAAACAAGCAGCCATCTCATAAACAAGAAAAGAACATGACTGGACATCACTGGACATGCTTCATCAGTCAGTTAGTCGAAGACAAACACAGGCAGGACACTGAGAAAAGGATATCAAATATATACTAAAAACTTAACAAAAAAAATCTTAAAAAGTATCTTGATATTTTTTTTTAACTTTTTAGATTTTTCCCAAAAATATATCCCTCTTCTTTTCGGGCCATCTGACATCCCTTTCTGGCACTCTCGGTGCGTGAGCCAACATTTTTCAGCCTAATTGTTGGCATTATGCTCAGCCATCATTGTCATTTTATGGTACATATATACGTATAGAAGTCGGCAGATGTGATATTTTTTTTTTTCAGGCGGTATAAGAGATAGAGAGGACTCTGGCATTGGGGGAGATATAAACTTTAATGACGAATGCCTAATGTGCGAGGGCCATAAAAAGTGTCGCGTCTGCAGCGCCCATCAAAACTCAAAAACTCTCCAAATGGCAAGTACAGCCAAGAAAATGATGGCTTAAAAAGGGCCAGCCCAGGGAGGGGTTAAGAGGAAACTTTTGGCAATTAAGTGACAGAAAAGCTTAACTCATTGAGGCAGTTCCGTGAAAGATAATAACACTCATACTACTAGTGGGTTTTTTTTTATATTTTTTTTATTTATAAATTAATATATTTCTCTATTAAATTCTTGAAAACTAAACTTCAAAGCCAGAACTCTTTCTGTCTGGCACTTGGCAGTCAATCATTGTGATTGTCTGCTGAAAAGAGATGGCTAAATGGCGGGTGGGGGGTAAAAAAAAAGAGACAGCTAGACGCTTTGTATCATTAGCAGAATCTAAAGCATCCCATCGGCTATGGCGGTGAAGTGTGAGCTAAAAGGTCAATTTTCTTGCCGATTTCTCTTTGCGTTTCAGTTGGCCAGGCTAAAATTTATGAAGGCAAAGGCACACAGGACATTCTGACACCCCACCACCACTACAGAAGAGCATAAAAGGGGAGGGGTGGGGGAGAGACAGAGGCACAGGACAACAAAGCGCCATTATTTTTGCGTTCGATCAAACAAAAGTCCCAAAGATTTATGCCAGCTAGCTGGCTCGAAAAAAAAAATAGGGTCTCTGGGTATAGTGTGTGTGTGCTTTTAGCCTAAAATCAGGCTACACATGTTAGAAGCTAGGTTCAGGTCCAGGCCCAGGCACATACTCCGTACAGGTTCGGCGAAAAAAGGACAGCGCCAGGAGGAAGAAGGTGGTGGACATTCATTCATTCATTTGATGCTGCTGTCGTCGTGACAATGAATTTATGCACACATCTATGCAGGTCTGTGTGTGCTGTAAATGTGCTTGTTTTTCCACAAAAGACAGAGAAAGAGAACAGAGAACAGCAAAGAGGAAAAGAGATAGAAAGAGAGAGAGGTGGAGAAATCAAAAGAACATTGGCCACAGGCTCCACAACCCCACAGGACACATTTTGTGCGATAATTATCGATGTCCTCCCGTCAAAGACAAGCACAAAATGAAGCCTAAAATGATGACACCCCAATTTTCAAGCCTGCCCTGTCCCCCACCCCAGTTTCCCGCCACAACCCCCACTGGCTCCACTCTGGCACTGGTTCTAGTGAAAAATCGAGGTTCGAAACCGAGATTGCTTGCATCCTTTTGGGACATCCTTGGGTCATGTCCTTTTTGCCAGTTGACTACCATTATGGCCGACGAAGACAAGGAATTTTTGGAGAAAGCGTTTAATGGACACCAGTGTACCATACTTCTTTTAAACCAAAAAAAATAACAAATTCTTGCTTGAACTTTCTTCTCGAGCTTGCACTTACAACAGGGCGTATACGCAATGTCATCAAAAATAGGGTGTATTGAGATTTCTAAAGAAATAACTTGCATTTCACATTATCTTTATCTAAATAATATTCTTCAAAACCAGAAAATAAAAAAGAAAAAGCCACAAAAGTTATTAAAGAAAGTTCTCAGACAGTAACGAGGTGTTTAATTGCAAAACCACTTTCTTCACTTGGTCAGTGATTTGGTAGCATTTCGTTTTGCAAATGAAGGATAAGGAAGTGAAAAGCATTTAAGCAACTGATAAGTGCTTTAAGGTCCTTGTGGGAATGTCCTTCGACTTGGTGCCGAGAGAATGAAATGAAATACAATCATTAATTCCGTTTTCTGCCACTGGGCAATGTCTCAGACCCAGCCCCTTTCTATATCTCTCACGCTCTTGTCTCGGTGTCTGCAACTTATGTAGTTTGGTTTTCCGGGATTGCGGAAAAGGACCTCCTCCATCCCTCTTGACCGTCTGACCCCCCTTGACTCCTTCAATCGTTTCGGTGGCAGTGGGGGGTGCCTGTTAAAACATTAAATGAGCAACTCATTTACAAACTCAAACAGCGCTCATAAATTCAACTAAATATCATGAACACAATGTAAATTTAAAGTTCAAATCGCATTAATCATTTTTGCGCTCGCCAAAGGCAACAGATCCTGCCACGCCCCGTCCGCCCAGCCGCCTTACCGTCTTGCCCCTTGGAGACAACTTTCAACTCGACTACGATTTCCCACAGAGATGACAAAACTAGAAAATCTGGGAAGTTACTTTCAATTATGAAGTTTTCAGATAACTTTTAATACTTGCGTTTTAATGATTTTTGTTTAAAATACTAAGTAGACGTATTTATTAGAGATATTTTTGTATTTAACGGGTTTTAAGGAAATAAGGAATTTAGTTATAAATAATTTACTAAAACAGAAATATATCTTTTAAAATTTTAAATATTAAGTAACCTAACTTCCTAACTGCCTTTTTGTGTGAATTTTTAGTGACATCCTTTAATGTCAATGTGCTTGTGTCCTTGTGTGTGTGTGTTTTCTGCATATGTATGGGTGTGGGTGTGTTTGTGTTTAAAATGACGCTTCTAACGCGCTTCTAATAGACTGCATTCCAGTGAGTTCGCTTGGCTGGTTTTTTGGTTTGTCGGTCTGGTCTGGTTTGGTTTCATTTCGTTTTGGTCCTGGGCCAGGACCCTGTGACCGTTTATAAATTATCAGGCAACAACCACTGACTTTTGTATGGTCATTGCGTACCTGTGGCTTTCAAAGCCACCTCCAAACCAGACCCATTCCACCTGCCACCACCCATCACCCTACGACCTTGCAACCGCAACAGCTCATAAATGAAGCCACAAAGTCACTTTAAGTGCATTTCAACATAAATTCAATTCCAATTGATGTTAGGCAGTGAAGGCTCTATTTTTTATTAGGTTTTTTTTTTATATCAAAAATAAACTTTAATTCCTGGCATTCGTCCTAATGAAGTGCAAATTACACAAAGCTGAATTGTTTAAAAAAAAAAAAAGGAAAGAAATACTAAACAAAAATGTGCAACTTTCCATGAATATTCCTTTATTCCATGAATATTCCTTATATTGTTTTCCGCTTTTTCTGTTCTTT